CGGCCGGCACCCGCGCACCTCGCGGGCGTTGTCGTCGTCGCCGCCGTCGTCCTTGTCGGCTCCTCGACGGCGATGACGGAGGCGTCGTCGTCGTCGTCGTCGTCGTCGCGTGGGATGCCCGTGGCGTCTGTGGAGGTCCTCGTCCCAAAGGCTGGGCGCAGCAGCCTGGCCAGTGTAGATCGTCGCCTCTGTCTTCAGTCGGGCACGTCTCTCTACAGGAGGAGTACTCAAAAATAAGCATAAACATAGCTCGGGGGCGAATTTTCGACTGTGTTTGGCTGTTTTTGATCATGTTTTGTTTTTTCATTCCTGCTTCCAAATCCGCCTGCAGGAGTACGTGCCCGACCCTATCTCTTGTCCCTCGTCGTGCCCTCCGATCCCGGCGTCGCAGCGCGAGGCCGTGTCGGCCGTCTCTGTGCCCGGGGGCCCCCGGAACCGGGGCGGTGACCCCGCACCCCGTGGTGCGTCGGTGGGGATATGTCGGGGTCGCCGCACGCTTCTGGGACTCGTCGGGTCGTTCTCCGAGGACGCCGTCGGGCAATTGTAGGGGAACAAGAAGTGGCATAAACATAAAAACTCGGGGGTCCGCGCGGATCTCTCGGGTCGGCGCTGGCGCCCCCCGGCGGCGCCTCTGGCGCCGCCCCTGGCGCGCTCCGCGCGCCAGGGAGGGGGCCCCAGCGCCGATCCGCGAAATCCTCGCGGATCCCCGAGTTTATATGTTTGTGCCACTTTTTGTTCCCCTATACATCCTCACCCCCGTCCTCCTCCTCCTCCTCCTCCTCCTCCTCCCCTCCTCCTCCTCTCCTCCTCCTCCTCCTCCTCCTCCTCCTCCTCCTCCCTCCCCTCCTCCTCCTCCCTCCTCCTCCCTCCCTCCCTCCCTCCCTCCCTCCCTCCCTCCCTCCCTCCCTCCCTCCCTCCCTCCTCCCTCCCTCCCTCCTCCTCCTCCTCCTCTCCTCCTCCTCCTCCTCCTCCTCCTCCTCCTCCTCCTCCGCTTCTGGGGCCTCCGAGGCCCCAGAAGCGTGCGCGGACGGGCCGCGCGGTGAGGCCCCTGGGGGGCTGCTTCGAGGTCGTAGGGGTAGCCCTGGGGGTAGGCCCCTGGGGGTAGGCCCTAGGGGTAGGCCCTAGGGGTAGGCCCTAGGGGTAGCCCTGGGGGTAGGCCCCTAGGGGTAGGCCCTAGGGGTAGGCCCTAGGGGTAGGCCCTAGGGGTAGGCCCCTAGGGTAGGGGGTAGCCCTAGGGGTAGGCCCTAGGGGTAGGCCCTAGGGTAGGCCCTAGGGGTAGCCCTAGGGGTAGGCCCCTAGGGGTAGCCCTAGGGTAGCCCTACAGCTGGGGCCCTGAAGAAGGAACCCTGAGGTTTGCCATGGAACATCGAAGTTGAACTTGTGGGAGAAAGGGGCCCCGTTCCTTATTTAGGGTTCCTCAGGTCAACACCCCGACTGTAGGGGTAGGCCCTAGGGGCAGCCCTAGGGTAGCCCTTCCTTGGGTGATCTATAAGCGCGCGCTCTTGCGAATCCTCGAGAAAACCATCCGCACGGTCCGCCACCGCACCGCCTCGGGGCTCCGAAGGCTGCGCGCGCACCGCGGGGGCCTCCGCGGAGGGGGCCGCGCCCCGGGCCCTCCGGGGGCCGCCCCTACGCGTGCGGCCTCGGGGCGAGGAAGCAAGCGGGCCCCGGGGCCCAGGAAGGGGGCGGAGCCGTCCCGAGGGGGTGGAATACAGCCAAAAACACTAAGAAGGGCAGCGCGGTAAGGACGCGAGACCCTTGGAAGCCGAAGTTGGGATTGCTGGGGCGGCGGACGACGAACACCCCGAGGACGCAAGAGCAAGGAGGAGCAAGGACGCAAGGGCACCCTGAGCAGAGTCTCGCGTCGATATTCGGGTTTTTGACTGTGTCGGGTTGGCCCAAAAGGGGGTCCAGCGAGAAGAGGGTGGTGCAACAGACTTTGTGGGGTTGCGATACGTCTGGGGCGAGCAGCACATTCCGGGGCGCAGATGTACTGCTGGATTTCCTCGTGCACTGCATTAGTTGCAATCCAACGCAATACAATTCTCCAGCGCAGTACATTTGCAGGACAATTGTCCCAAATCTATTGCACCCCCCCCTTGCAGCTGGACCCCCTTTGGGGTCACCCAAATTGAAGTGGGTGGGGGGTGGGGCCTGCATAGGGGGCGGAAGATCCTCGGGCGGGTGGCAGTGGGGGATGACCTCAGTTCGAAGAAGAAGCAATGACGGCACAAACATCAACGGTTGGCGCTCCGCGCGGATTTCTTGGATCCGCGCTGGGCCCCGCGCTCCGCGCGCCAGGGAGGGGGGGGTCGGCGCAGATCCAGGAAATCCGCGCGGAGCGCCAAACGTTTAGGTTTGTGCGGTCTTCTCTTCTCCTAATGGGAAGTGGAAGGATCTCGGGCGGGCGGCAGTGGGGGGTGACCTCCATAGGTGGCCGAACAGTCGCACCCCAGGAGCGCCCGAAAAGGGCCTCGAGGTGCGACGTTGCCAGCCCGACGGGGGGGACCGACATTCAGAAGATCCTTCTTCTGCAGCGATGGCCTCCAGGATGGCCCCCGGCCTCCATGAGGGCCTCCACAGAGCCTCAAGACGGCCCCCCAAAAGGGACCCCCTCAGAGAGCTCGAAGGGTTTCCACACCACTCCTGGCGCCTGCACTCGGCCTCGCCCGGCTCAGAGGCCCCAATGTTAAGTCGGGCCTGTCCCCCTTACAGGAGCATTTTCGACGAAAAATAAATCATACCCCAAAAAGACACCAAAAAGGTCAAAACATAGTCCAAAAATAGTCTCCACATTATGTTTGGACTATGTTTTGATTATTGTTTGAGTATTTTTTATTTTTCGTCGAAAATCCCCCTGTAGGGGACAGGCCCGACTTCACCCTAAAGGGGCATTTTAGGGCCCCCTTCTGGAACCGGCAGGGGCCCCGGCGGGCCCCTCCAGGGCCTTTCCCTTCGCCACCACCCACAACAACCCGTCCGAGACGAGTTGGTAGGGGGCCACATGCGAACCCTACCCCTACCCACCACGACTTCTGAGGGGGAGGGTGGGGTTCACTTCGTCTGGGAGCTCCCGAGCGAAGTGAACCCCACCCTCCCCCTCAGAAGTCGTGGGGGTAGGGGTAGGGTTCGCATGTGGCCCCCTAGTTGGATGCCCACCCCACGCACAGAAATTCAACTCCGGGGGAGTCTGTTTCTGTGCTCTGCACTTTGGCGTTTGGGGGGGCCTCCCGCCGCCAAGTCCGAACTCGGCTCGACGAGTGAAACACCAGCCAGGCGGAACCCTGGGAGGAGCCCAGGAACCGATTTCGAGGGCACGTGGGACGAGTCGGATGCGGAGGAGAAGCACTAGCTTTGTTCTGGCGGTTTTGTTTGCATATGTGCACGGGGACTTCCCAAGGCCTTCAGAGGCTTACGGGGGGCTCCAGAGACCTCTGGGGACCTCCTCCTCCTCCTCCTCCTCCTCCTCCTCCTCCTTTTGTTCACGCGGTTTTGTTTGCATGGGTGCACGGAGACTCCCGAAGGCCTCCGGAGGCTTACGGGGGGCTCTAGAGACCTCTGGGGACCTCCTCCTCGTCCTCCTCCTCTTCCTCCTCATCCTCCTTCTCCTTCTCCTTCGCCTCTTTGTGCTCTTCCTGTTCCCCCTCCTGTTCCTTTATTTTCCTCCCCCTCCTCCTCCCCAGCATCTTGCCAGCAGGAAGAGGGGGAGGGAGCATCAGGACGAGGACTCCCTTGGCAGTCTGGTGCGCTCGCTGTTGAGTGGCGTTGCTCGCCGCTCGTCGCAGCTCCACGCTCGTCGTCTGCTTTAGGCTATCCTATCCTGCTACCCCATGCTGCAGCCCGACAGTTGGGACGAGGCAGTGGCGCTCGAGTAGGAGGAGGGATGACGAGGGGGGAGGGAGGGAGGAGGGGAGGAGGTGGTGGAGGAGGGGGTGACGAGATAGAGGAGGGATGACGAAAAGAGGGAGGGAGGAGGGGCGACGAGGAAGGAGAGGGATTACGATGAAGCGGCAGGATGACGAAGAAGGGAAGGGAGGACGGATGACGAGGAAAGAGAGTGAGGAGGGATAACCAGTAATGAGGGGGAGGAGGAGGAGGAGGAGGAGGAGGAGGAGGAGGAGGAGGAGGAGGAGGAGGGGGATGAGGAGGAGGAGGATGTGGGAGGATGTGGGAGGAGGATTAGATCGGCATCGCTGGCCCTCTGCTCGCGAGTTCGGCCCCCATCTCCCCACCAAGGCAACTTTAGGTCCGAAACGATCTGGGTCCACTTCGGCCGCCTCGATCCGATCCGATGCCGATGTTTCGGCGGCCCGATGCGGTCCGATGCTCGCGCAGGCGCGGCTGTGTACTGTGGCGCGGCCGATCCGATTCGATTCCAACCCTTTGCCGCTGCGGCCCCATCCTCGGCCACGCGCAGAGGAGGTTAGGGGGAGGGGGTAAGGCGTCTTAGAAGCACCCCTGCTTCTTAGAAGGCGCGGGCCTTCTCTATTGATGTAAGGCTGGCGCCCTCGAAGAAGCAGCCTCCTTCTAAGATGCCTTCCCCCCTCCCCCTGCCCCCTCTGCGCGCCGCCAACCTCCGACGCGCGTTCCGAGTTGCTCCGGTGCGGCCCGATCCGATGCCGACTGGTCCTGACCCCCCCGCCACGTTTGACGATTTTTGCCCAATCGACTTGGGGGGATCAGGCCCGATACAGTCGGCCCGGATTAGTAGGTCGACCCTGCCAGCTCAAGGGTACCCTTGTGTCCTGTGCCTCGCGACACGTGCTTCTTACACTCCTATGGCGATGTGGCGCTCGGAAGGGTCTTGTGTCCTCTCGCGTGTCCTGTCCAATAAAGGCCGCCTGTAGATCGGGGTACATGCAAGTAGATCAAGCACAATCCACGTGAGCCCAGGCAAATCCAGAGATCTCCTGGGGGATCTCGGGCAGATCCGCCGACGCTCCAGCGCGAGTCGAGGGGCAGCCGACGTCGCTGAGCCTGTCACGGCCGCGCGCGCGCAGGGCCGCATGAAGTTCGACCGCAAGCTGCGCAACAAGGTCACGTTGCCCTACGACGTGGACCCCACCGACAGCTGCGGCGCGCCCCCCCGCCCTCTCGCTCGCGGCCGCGGGCAGAGCCTTAATCGGGGGTGGATAATCCTCCTACCCTGACACGTCGATTAGCGAATTGGCCGTTTTCGGTTCGCGAGAGGACGTCGCGGCCGTCATTTTTGCGGGTCCAGGTCCGTCGGTTTCGGTCCTGGACCGTTTTCACTAAAGGGAGGTTTACT